CAAGGTTCAGGGACACAGTCCACATGAAACAGGCCCCACCTGCCTGGTCTCCTGCAACAGCCTCTCCACACTACCCAGGCAGACCTTCCCAAGCTGATCTTCCTGCTTGACCCCAGGCTGACCTTCCCGCTGGACCCCCCCAAGCTGACCTTCCCTCTGGATGCCCCAGGCTCACCTTCCTGCCAAACTCTCACTCACTCAGGCAGGGCAGCTCCTGGGGCCCAGCAGCTCTTCCAGGGAGACAGAACTGGGAGGGGCAGGTTGTACCCAGCACATCCCAGCGAGATGAAGGTGAACCAGGTTCCGACCTCCAGGTGAACCGAGTCTTTCCTCCTGAACGCACGTGCCCCATAAGGCTTTATGATGGGCGTGTCTAGACTTCTGGGGAGGAGAGCGAAGGACCAAATTGGACCCACTGAGGTGGTGTCTGCTCACACTCCACTTTCAAAGCTGGTCAGTCATCACTCACACCCCAGGCAGCTTTCAGCAAATGAAAGCCTATCTCCCTCCGCCCCCCACACACACCAAGGCGCAGATGAGGTGCGGAGACCGCCTTTATGATCCCAGAGAGCAAGGTGAGGCAATGGACAAAGATCACCCGGGGATCCAAGAATAGACAGAAGCGTACTTAACCTGACACTTTAGGTCTCCCCTGCCTGGTAGGGGCCACACCAGACTATCCTGCTTTGTGGACAGCGCTAGCTGGAGGGAGGTTTGGTCAGAGGGATCGCTTTCCCCAGGGCTTGCTGGAATTCCAGAAATGCACCCTCAAGGCCCTGCTGCCTGTCTTGTGCTGATGACACGTGAGTGAGTCTGGTGAGTCTGCCCCTTGCTCAGCTGTGGCTGAGCGAGCCTCGGTTTCTCACTCACAGGCCGCTGCTAGCTGCCAAGAGGGCCTGGAGAGCCGGGAAGGCGCCTGCTGCCGCCAAGTCTTCCCAGAGCACGTGCTGGTGAAACGGGAGGGGAATTCTGCTCCAGGGTAGGAGGCATGGGGGGCGTGGTCCTTGCTGTACGGAGACTCCGCAGGAGGCAGCCAAAGGAAAACAACAAACACACGCTAGCGTCCACTTGAGCAACTGAAAACGGAGCCAGACTGTGCCAATGGACTCCCTGGTGGTTGCCTGCTGGCTAGTGGGCAAGAGATCAAAGCAGACAGGCCTGTTACAGGAACAAGCCCGCCCTTCCAACGAGGTAGCTCAGATGTTCGGCGCCTCCAGGGCAAAGCAACCCCCACGGCCCCGGGCATCCTTACTGCATCCAGGCCTAGACGCCCTCTCACGTTCTGATCAGCGGCCAGCGGCTTGTAAGTGTGGAGGAACTACCCTCTTCCCCACAGAAGGTGTCCCTGGCACCTCTTCAACCGCTCAGGGTGTGACCTGGGATGCCCAGAGCAGGAGTTGGGGGGGGGATGGGTTGAGCACTTTCCAGCTCAGCAGGTGGATGGTCTGGGGTAAATGGGCCCTGGTGGGACGTCTGGAGGCAGCAGCCTTCCAAGGCCCTTCCCCACCAGTCTCATCTCCGGGTGGACAGATGCCAAGTCCACTGGCGGCCACCTTGCCTCCCCACCAGTGCCCCTCCCCTTGCTCGTCCTCTGACGCTGAGATGCTGCCCGGAAGCTTCTCTACCAGGGAGTCTTATCTGCTTCGGATAAAAATAGAGCTAGGGGAGTCACTGCAGAGGCTGCGGGGTGAGGCCACCCAGAGCTTATAGGAAAAAATGTTCCTGAAAAACAAATTCTAGGAAATGGCCCTGAAGGGTGTGTGGAAGCTTCTTCCAGCTCCTCCTGTGTCACACACGCTTGCCCCTTGCCGGGCTCGGTGGGAGCTGGGGTAAGAGGAAAGCCAGGTGGAGTGGAAGGGACTCCTGGGCAGGGGAGCGGAGCCCTGTGCATTCTGGGATGAAAACCCTTGAGGGAATTTTCTGGAATATTAGTTCTAATGGTAGGAAGCTTGAGGGCCCAATTCAGGGGCCTAAGAGTGGGAGCAAATCACTGTCTGCAGAGAAACAAGCAGTGGAGAAAATCAACAGATGTGATCGTTTTAACTTGCAGTTAGCAGGAAAATGTGCCCCTCGATTGGGAACCGGAATCTAGCTGACACCAACCCGGCCATCTTCTCCACCCCATGTGGTAGCAATGCTTGCTCGGAGAGGCCCCTGCCATCTACCAGCTCCACGTGCAGGCAAGAACTTCCTTTGCATGGTGGAATCATCCGTCCCTGCCAGGGAGCCTGGACTCTGGTAACTGCTGCATAGCAGGGGACTGGGCATGCAGGATGTCTGGGAGCACGGGCTGGAACCCCACAGTCCGGGGCTCTGAGCGTGGCTGCCCCCCGGGCTGCTGTCCTCCCTAGCAGCTCCTTGACTTGAACTCCAGGTTCAAAGACATCAGTAAGCAGGGGTCCTGCCACCTCCCCACAGGGTCGTCAAGAGGATTAAACAGGGTCGTGTTGCGCCACATTTTGTTTGGCATCAGTCCTCTGGAGGACGTGTAAGAACCGTGCACGGATTCTGCTCCCCTTGATGGAGAGGAAGGGAGTAACACTGGGGTCCCACCGGCCTGCCCAGTGCCAGCCCCGAGGACAGACGCTTGTGGGCTGAACCAAGGGCACTGGCCCTGCAGCCCGCCCACTCTCACCTTGCCGGGCACCTGAGGCTGGAGCTGCAGGAAAGGCTGGTCCAGTCCCACGTGGCCCCAGCCTTCCCTGCGGGCGTCCTCACTTTGTAACTGGGCAAAAAGCTGGACCGGGGTGGTATTTTTCAAACTCTCTAACAGTTCGATTTAGTGAATTACATGGCAGCATTTTGAAAAAGAGAAAACTATAAAATAGAAGGTATCGCAGATCCCGGGGTAAGAATTTGTGCAACTTGCTGGAGACGCGGACTTACACACAACGGGACTGATTCATGATGAAAAGCATGTTTCTTGCTGCAGATCACAGCCGGAAAGCGTGAAACCACCAGCCTGGGGCGGGGGGCTTCTGGTTCCGAGACGCTCCCCTGCCTAGCACGGGGGCCGAGGACAACGTCTCCTGCCCCGACTTCCCCGGTGTGAGTTTCAGAAGGCACTTGATTCCGGAAAGGCAGCCTCTGGCATTCTGGCCCCACGCCCAGCCCCGGCACCACGCTCCACAGATAAATGGTACATTCCGCGTCAAGTCACTCCTCTGAGTGAGAACAGGACATTCTAGGCTCGGGCCCCGCGGTGACTCACTATTATTCAGAAATGGTGACATCAAGGGCCTGCTCACCCTTGATCCTGGAGGGATGCTTGGGCATGCCAGGCCCCCTTCCCGCTGGTGTTGCAACCAGAGGAAGTTCCTGATGAACAGGCGGGGGCGTGCTGGGGCCAGGCACCCGGGGCGGGACGATGGTAACCGGAGAGACGGCGAGGCAGATGCGCACGCGGCGGCGGCGCGCGGGCGCCTCCACGTGGCCAGAGGTGGAACTTCGCCCGCAGGCCCCCCTGTCCTCTCCCCGAGCTGGCTCACCAAGGGCAGAAAGCTGACCAGCCAGGGAGCTTTCGGCCCCGCTCTGCGGTCTTCTCCTGCCAGGGGTAGCGCTCTAGGGATAAAGGGCGATGTTCTGTGTGGCCCAGGGGGTTGGAGGACAGAGCAAGCAGTTTGAACAAGAGCACCTGCTGCACAAGCCCCTGGCCTTGGGGGCCACGGCACACACTCACATCACAAACGAAGGCCGGAAGTCTTTTAAATCGGTGGCCTCGAAGAAGGTGTAAACGGCCCCAAATCAAGAAACAGACTCCGTGGCGCTCCTCCTCACCAGAGGAAAGCCCTCCCAGGAAAGGTGCGGAGGGCATGGACACTTGGCACCTCCCGACACAGAATGTGACTCTGAGATGGGGGGGGTCACACAGAAAACCCCATGGCAACCCTCCAGTCGCATCTCAGGGAGGGTCTCTGTGGGAAGTGGAACAAACACAATTACAGGGGTCCTGGGCGTTTTGCTTTTTCTTTTTTAAGTTTCAGGGCTCTCCTTGGGAGTTTCAGGACAACAGGTATACCAGCCCATGGCTTCCCATGAGCGGCCAACCTGTGCTTCCAGAGAAGCTGCCTATGTTTCCCCAAAGACTGAGGGAGCATTAGTGAGAGGTGGCAGGAGAGACCAGCGGGCAGGAAGTCGCAGGGCTGCCGAGAAGCAGGTGAGGAGCACTGGCTGCGGCCCTGTGAGCAAGCCCAAGAAAGCCGAGGCCTGGCCCCCGCCTGGCCAGATCAGAGCGTTGGATGGCCCGGTGCAACTCAGAGCCGCATCCCTCCCCCCAGAGATCTGTCACCATGAGGGATGACTTAGCTGGCTCTTTCCTGGTAAAGCAAGAGAAGCTACTGAAAGTGGAAACACCCACCCATGAACCCCCAGGCTGTAAGTGACCCTCTTAAATGAGGAACCCCTGGGATGCCTGATATTCTATGCCCCGCGTGCTTCATGGAGGGAGACCAGCCAGAGAGCGGTGGGGCAGGGGTCCTCGCTGAGGGAGCTGCGGAGCCGGGACCCTTCCCCACACACAGCAGCTCATCAACGGAGGAAAGGAGCCCCAAATAACAGCCTCAAGCCTTCTGGAAACTTCCCTGCATCCTGGCATCTGTTGCCGCCTTCCTGTCCTCACTCCCCATCCTCTACAAAGAGAGTCTGAGGGGAGCAAGAAAACAGGGAGGGGCTGGGTCAGGATGGAGGAGGCGGGACCCGCAACAGGGAGCAGGTGGAGGCAGAGGCTGAGTGTGCAGATGCTCTGGAAGAAGAGTCACCTGCGGGAGCCAGGGGCTCCACCCGCTCAGGGTCCTGGGACAGTCCCCAGCATCCCTGCTTTGCACAGGGCACTGCACCTCCCTGGATGCCTCTGCACCCTTCTCTCTACCAGTCATGCTGTTTTCTTCCATGGGAGCCAGTCCGAGGATCACCTACCCCAGGAAGCTTTCCCTGATTAACCTCGGCCCACCGCGTTCCTGCTTCTGAACTAGGGGGTTCTGCCCTGCCCTACTTTGTGCTGGCTGCTCTCTCCACCAGAAAACAGGCCTGGTTGTCGGGGGCCTTGGGACAGGCTTCCCTCTGGGGCCTGCCTCGAGGCATCAGATTCCAGAGAGCCGAGGCACATGGGGCAGTGGCAGGGCTGATGGGAAGACCACCGGTGAGAAAGGCACGGGGCGGGGCGGGCGGGGCAAAGGCGCATCACCCCAGAAACGCCTCGTAGTCCATGTACCACACCAGCTGGCCGGAACTGGGCAGGACGCCTGAGATGGGCCACTTCCAGGGCTCGCGGCCCACACGGCTCACCAGCATGGTGATCTCTCGCTTCATCCGGCCCATGACCAGGACGGCCACCTTCCTGGCCCGGTTGATGAGGGGCAGGCTAAGGCTCATGCGCTGGTACGGCTGGGAGGGGCTCCTGGTCAGCACGACCAACGGCTCGCCTTCCAGGCCGGCGGGGGACTGCGGGAAGAGAGAGGCGGTGTGCCCGTCGGCGCCCATGCCCAGCAGCACCAGGTCGAAGCTGCTGTTGGCCACCAGCGCCGCGATCTCCTGGGCGTAGAGCTGGGCACCCTGGTCCTCCTCGGCGCAGAGCCGCTGGCGCAGGTGCACGGGCATGGGGTGGATGTTGTAGTAGGGGACCCTGACGTGCTGCAGCAGGTGGGCCTGCAGGCCCTGGAAGTTCGACTCTGGGTCCGAGAGTGGCACACAGCGCTCGTCCACCAGCCACAGGTGCGTGTGGGCCCAGGGGAAGCCATAGTGCCCCGTGGCCAGCTGCTGGAACAGGGCCACGGGGCTGGAGCCCCCCGAGAGCGCCAGGTGGAACCTGCCAGAGCGCCGTACCGCCCGCACGGCTGTGGCCTCTATGTCGCTGGCCAGCTTGGAGATGAGCTCCTCGGGCCAGGCCGAGACCAGCGGGCTCTCTCGGTACTTGGCACGGAGGACCTGGAAGTCGCTGGGCATTGGCGCTGACCCGGGCCCCGGCACCAGCTGCTCCAGGGGCTGCTGGGAAAAGAACAGCTGGCTGCCACTGAACTCCAAGTCCAGCAAAGGGCCGTTCTCAGCTCCCCCGGGGTAGAGGCGCGGGGCCTCGCGGGCCAGGCTGTCCAGCACGGGGCTCCAGAAGGCCCAGGAGGCCAGCAGGTTCTCTGTGGTGATGAAGGAATCCTTTCGGCCGTGGAAGATCCGTGACAGGAGGATGGAGTAGGCGTCCTGCTCCCGCACGGGGCTGTAGGCGTAGTAGTCGGACAGAGGGCGGCCAAAGAGATGGAGCCCGGACTGCTCCCCTACCTCCTTCCAGCCTGTGGGCAGTGATGGCCTAAACAGGTTCCGGCTGACCAACACGGCGGGGCTGCCCAGGTCCCCGTGGCCGATGTGGAAGACGACCTGCCGCGGCAGGCACTGGCTCTGCGGCGCAGCCCGGTGCTTTTCGCTCTGGACGCAGCACGCCTGGTTCTTGAACAGGACGCGCACGTAGCTCACCCTCTCGTCCAGGGCCTTGCCAGACATCAGGATGAAGGGCACGCCCTCCCAGCGGAGGTTGTCGAGGTGGATGAGGACGCCTGCGGGAGGCAGCGGCAGAGGGTGACACCCACATGGGGAGCCGGTGCCTCCCAGCCCCTTGCTCTGGCTGGCCCTGCTCGCCTGCCCTCCGGGGGTCCCACCACCTCTGGGAGGCCCTGCCTTGCTGTGTTCATCCCTTACCTTTCAGCCCGGCCATTACCTTCTCCTCCTGGGCGCCCCCAAACCAGCCTCAGGGGCCATCCCTGCAGCTCTGACATCTGCCTCCCTTGGGGCACTGCTTAGAGTCCCCACGCAAAGGAGACCTGGGCTGAGAGCCTCCACCCCAGAGACTCTAAAAGAGGCCTTCTGGGGACCGTGGGGCGGGGTCCCTGGGTGTGTCAAGGGGGTCCTAGGGAGCAGTGCTCCCTCCTGTGTGTGAAGCACTCAGGGTGAACCAAGGTCATCCCGAGGGTGGGGGCGGGCCTCAGCCACGGGGTGGGGGATGCCCAGGGAAGGGGCTACAGGGTGGGCGCAGGTCAGGTGGGGAGAGCCAGCCACAGGCCAGACTCTGTGCCCAGTCTAGGCCTCGTTGAGCTTCGTAACTTCCTGAAGCCCTACGTTCCTCACCCACAAATGGGATTAATAATCACCCACCTCCTGGCTTGTGAGTGTGAGGATTAAACGAGGGAATGTCTGCCAGGCGCCTCACACACAGCACGGGCCCAACAGGCCACTCTGTTCCCACGGGGCAGCTGCTGCTGACTGAGGAGCCCGCTCCCAGGTAGCTCTGGGCCCCAGGAATTGTCCAGGGATGGCCCGGCAGGCACCTGCCTGGCCCCTGCGGGGCTTGCCCGCAGGAAGTGTCTCGGCTGTGGCCGGGCAGAAGGCTTGCAGCCGCCCTTGTGAGGCCAGAAGTAAGGCCCGCGGAGGCAGGAAACAGGTTGGCCCTGCACAGCAAACCTGTGGCTTGGGTTAAACTGGGGCTGCTGTGAGACAACGGCCATTGAGATGCCCTTCACCAGAGCGACCGCCAGTAACCAGCTGGTGGGAGGCCAGGGACACAGGGGAATGTTGTCCTGCCACCGGGCGCCCTCGTGGAAACCCCCCAAGCCCCCCCACCTCAAGCCAAAGGGTGCCTGGGTGTGGAAAGCTGCTTCTGGGGGACAGCCTAGGGGCCCATGTGGGCTCGGCACCCACCTGCAAAGGTTGGCGTCAAGCTGTGGAAGCTGTCCGGCCGCTGCAGCTCCCTGCGCACCTGCTCAGGGTAGGCCTGGTACTGGCCCACCACGGTGCTGCCCTTCTGCAGGCCACGCAGCTCCTGGAAGACCTGTAGCTTGTGCCGCAGCACAGCCTGCACATCACTGACATTCTGGGGCAACTCCATGGCCACCAGCGTGAGCACCTCAGTCAGGTGGTTCTGCAGGACGTCACGGATGACACCGTACTCCTCGTAGAAGCTGGTGCGCCCTGGGTGGGAGGGGGAGAGGGAGGCAGAGGGTGTGAGGAAGACCAGCACATCCAACTCCCCAAGCTACCCCGAGACGGCCCGCACACGGTCCCACATCCCTGTTCCCCAGTCTCCAGAGCCCATAAGAATCAGGTGCGCCAGAGCCAGCCTCACCGAGGGAAGGAAGGAGGGCGTCCTGGAGCCACCTCCCCCAGCGGGCACGAGTCTAAGGTGTCCGGTCCCTGGGCCTCTCCAGGACCCCACATGGGGAAGGCTCGTGTTCTAGCAAGGGCCAGATGGCATGAGCCCCCCTTGGCCCTGCCCTCCCGGCACTGGTCGGCAGGAGGCTCAGCACCGTGGGAGGCTGCAGCGTTACGGCCAGGGCTGGGCCCCGAGGGTGACTGTCATTAGTGTGTGGTCCTGTGCAAGTTACCTGACTTCGTGTCTGCGTCCTGCCCTCGGATGGGCTGACAAGGGCCATCCCACGGCCAAGGGCACACCCATGCCAGACGTGTGCAAGGGAGTGGGGGGGAGGGACGGTGGGAAGGAGAAAAAGGAAGGAAATAAAATTACTGCCCCAACTGTGTCAGAGGGTCACGAAGACACTGAAGAGCTGGCCCCACAGAAAGCCAGGGAGAGAGCACCTTGGAGGAAGGGAGCTCTGTGTGCCACAGCCGAGGCAGGAGAGAGCTGGCATGCGGGAGCCGTGGAGGTGAGCAGGGACGGGGGGGACGGAAGCACAGCCGGGGAGGAGGTGGGGGCCCAGTGGGACCCAACCAGGAGGCTGGCCTTTTCCTAGGCTCCAGGGAAAACGTTGGCGCTCTGAGGCAGGAGAAGGCAGGTCTGATCCATGTTTGGAACAGGTGCCCGGCGAGCTGCGGGAGAGCGGGTGTGGACGCGGGAAGCCAAGGAGGCGGCCATGCATTTGCCCAGAGGAGATGCCGGGGCCTGAACGGAAGAGCAGCACAGGGTGGGGGGGGAGACTGTCCCGGGTCAGAACTGATGGGGCTTGCTGACAGATGGGACAGGAGGGTGAGTCAAACAGAGGTCCCTGGTGATCCCAGAATCAGGACATTCAGACCTGGAAGGTGGGGGAGGAAGGGCTTGATGGAGGGGGAGGTGTGTTTGGGCTGAAGACACCCCAGGGGCCAGGTACCTGCAACGGGGATGGGGCGATGCCTGGAGAACCTGAGCACCCAGTCTGGCCTCATGACAGCGATGCTGACCATGGGCCTGACCGGCACTGAGCCCGGACACGTGCCACTCCCCACACGACGAGCCCTCACGGCAGCCACCACCACCACCCCTGCCCTGCCCAGGAGGAGGGAGGCGGTGCCCAGGCTGGCGCAGGCAGAGCGGGAGCTGGCTGGCCACGGCCCACACCACAGCTCTTGCCAGGCTCCACCTGCATGGCAGTGGCCATCAGTGACTCACAGTGACAGCTACGGAGCTTCGAGGCCAAGGCACACCGCATCATGTGAGGCGGTTCAAACCTCGTGCACTCACAGTCCGACCTATGTGACCGCTGGACGCTCCGATCGTGCCGTCTGGATTGCAGGCTGCTTTCGCCCAGCTCACTTCTCATCCCCAAGTTCTCGCTAGTCCCTCCTGCTGCCCCCACCCCACTGTCATTTCTTCTTCCCTGCTGTCCCTGAAGCTCCGTGCCATGGGAATGGCCCTGCCCATCCGCCCGCGGCAGGCCTCACGCCCAACACCATGGCAGAGGGAAAAGGAAGGAACACACAGCATCACGGAGAAAGCCCACAACATGAGTGTGAGGAACCAACATGGCTATTTTGGCAAAACAAAAGTTAATTTGAAGAAGGATACAGAGTGACGCGAACAAGCAGGACTTCCATACATGAAAACACAGCTGGAAGTTAGGAATGCAATAGATTCGAAACAGCAGAGAAGGGTCAGTGAGAGGAAGACAGACCTGAGCAACTACCCCACACGCAGGGTGAGAGTCAAAGCTCCATACTGGACAGCACAGCACAGCACGCCTCCTCCTCAAAGCCAAGTAACAGCTCGCTTTGGAATCAGACACACATAGAAACAACGGAAAAGCCGGGGAATAACAACCTCAATTTGGAACAACAGTTAAGGAGAAGACATGGGACAGGATTCGGGAGGGACACACAGGAGACAAAAAAGTTCTTTTTATTTTTTTTTATTTTTTGAGTTGGAGTCTCACTCCTTTGCCCAGACTAGAGTGCACAGTGGCACGCACGTTCACGGCCATCCCAGCGTCAACCTGCTGGACTCCGGCAATCCTTCCGCCTCAGCCTTCTGAGTAGCTGGAACTACAGATGCGCACTACCATGCCTGGCTATTTCTTATTTTATTGTAGAGACAAGGTCTCACCAAGTTGCCTGGGCTGGTCTCGAACCTACGGGCTCAGGCAATCTACTCACCTCAGCCTCCCAAAGTGCTGGGATTATAGGCTGAGCCACCGAGCCCGGCCATCAAAGTTCTTTTTAAAAGTCAGCCACCAGCTGAGCATGGTGGCTCACTACTGTCATCCCAGCACTTTGGGTGGCCAAGGTGAGAGGAATGCTTGCGCCCAGGAGTTCAAGATCAGTCAAGGTAATTTAGCCAGATCTGCTGTCTACAAAAAAAAAAAAAAAAAATAGCTGGGCATGGTGGTGTGTACCTGTACTTCCAGCTACTTGGGAGGCTGAGGTGAAAGGATCGTTTGATCCCAGAAGGTTGAGTCTACAGTGAGTTGGGATCATGCCACTACACTCCAACCTGGGTAACAGAGTGAGACGCTGACTCAAAAAAATAAAAATATAAAGAAAATGATGTTCAGAGAGGTTAGGTAACTTGGTGAAGGTCACACGGCAGGTAAAGAAGGAAAAATGAGATTCACATCCAAGCCACTGGCCCCAGAACCTGCAGTTTTTACCAAGAGAACACCTTCCTCTAAATGTCCTCGCTGGGTGCATTGGCTCACGCCTGTAATGCCAGCACTTTGGGAGACAGAGGAGAGAGGATTGCCTGAGCCCAGGGGTTCGAGACCAGCCTGGGCAACATGGTGGGACCTCATCTCTACAATACATCAAAAAATTAGCTTGGCATGGTAGCACACACCTGTAGTTCTGGCTACTTGGAAGGCTGAGGCGGAAAGATCGCCGGAGCCCAGCAGGTTCAGGCTGTGGAGGCCGTGAGAGTGCCACCGTACTGCAGCTGGGGCGATAGAGTGAGACTCCGACCCCAAAGATAGAATATAAATAAATAAATGTCCTGCTCCCCAACTGTGCAACAGAATGGCAGACTCGGTGTGAAGCCGAGCAATGTGAGCACCATCAGCTCTTAAGGGGAGCACAGCAGCAGAGGAGAAGCGAGCTGAGCCGGGCTCTGGAGGAAGGGTCTGGGGCAGAGGCCAGGCTCCAGTGCCTAACGGGGCTGGCGAAGTGAGGAGGACAGGGTAAGGCCAGGGTCCCTCAGAGGCCAGTCAAGTCCCTCTGCCTCCTAGGGGTGTGGGCCCAGGGAGACCAAATCCTCTCGTTTTCCAGAAAAATGTAAAAATGTGGGTCGTTAAGAATAATCTTTTGATTCTTAAACGCGCATGCATAATTCAGATTCATAAAAGTACTGTGTCTCCAGGAATCGTACAGGTGGGCTGACTCTGCCCAGGGCACAGCCTAGTGGGGTGAGTGGCAGGAACCCCGCCATTCCAGCCTAGACATCGCAACCCTGGCAGGCAGAGGCAGAGGGCTGAAACTCAGGAACAGTCGCCGAAACCAGACGGAAAGGGCCTTGGAGACCAGACGGAAAGGGCCTTGAGACCACACTGAGGCACTTACTGAGCTGGTGCGAGCTCTTGCCCTCACAGTTAAACAGCTGTGAGCCAGCAATCCCACTCCTAGGGTTATAATCAAGAGAGAGTGAACACAGGTCCACACAAAAACCTGTACATGAATGTCCACTGCAGGAACACCCAAATATCTATCAATGGGTACCTGGATAACTAAAACGTGGCGTATCCATCCAATAAAAGATTACTCAGCACTACAAGGAAATGCAGCACCGATACATGCTACAATGTGGATGAACTTAGAACATATCATGCTAGTGATATAAGCCAAACAGAAGGTCATGTGTCGCAAGAGCCCGTGTATGTGAAATGTCCAGAACAGGCAAACCCATAGAGAGAGTACAAGTCAGCCAGGGGCTGGGGGGAGGAAGAAATTAAATGACAGTTAAAGGTACAGGGTTTTTTTGGGGGTGACGAAAATGTTCTAAAAATGATTGTGGTGACAGATGCACAACTCTGTGAATAGACTAAAATCCACTGGACTGTACACTTTAAATGGTTAGTTGGTTGGGCACGGTGGCTTACGCCTGTAATCTCAGCACTTTGGGAGGCTGAGGCAGGAGGATTGCTTGAGCTCAGGAATTCAAGACCAGCCTGGACAACCTAGCATGTCCGCGTCTCTATAAAAAAATATATTTAAAAAAATTATCTGGGCATGGTGGTGAGAGCCTGTAGTCACAACTACTCAGGAGGCTGAGGTGGAAGGACTGCCTAAGCCTAGGAGGTCAAGGGTGCAGAGCCGTGTTCATGAGTGACAGAGTGAGACCCCCAACTCAAACAGCCAATCAGTAAAAATTTTAAAAATGAAAAAGTAGTAGCAAGCCCAGAGCATAGAAAGCACTGATAAACACTGGGTGGAATTTTCATTGTCATAGGGGCCCGGCTCCCAGTCAGTCACTCAGAGAACAGCTGCCATTTGGAAATAAAGTTAGAGAAGCTAGTTGACGTTTCATGAGAAAAATGCAATGATGACTTTAGTTCTAAGTCTGCTGAATCTGAAGTGATGGCATGACACCCCGTGAAAATATCAACAAGGCAACTGGAAGTATAAGACTGGGGCTTGGAGAGAGTGTGGAAGCTGGAGAGAAACTGCAGTCCATCGTGTCCAAAATGCCATCAGTGGTGGAAGCATCGTTATTTTATAGCCAACAAGAAAGGAATGGGCTGCCGGTTCAAGTGGGTCACCCCATCAAAGGGAAA